TGTAGAGCAAACATTTTTCTACAAAATTAGATGTTTTACAGCTCTGAGAGAATCGTGATAACTGATTTATAGCAATTCTCCCGGATGCCCCAAAAGGTCTTCCGGCCAGACTGATCATCGCCATATACAAAGGATGAAAACGTTATTGCGCAATTTTTAATCTTTTTCATCAGCTGTAATAGCTAGAACAAAAATGAAAAAGATCTAAATAGCTGAGAACATGTATTTATGAGAATTCCTTCACAGTTACTATAAATAGAGTTTTTAACAAGAACACATCTTTGTATATTGATTTAAAATAAAATTGAAATCTATTAAACGTCTAATAGATACAATGAAACAAGATTGATTTTCCACTATCTTCATTTGTTCCACCTTAGTTTGTGTTCTATATTGAGTGATGGGTGCTTCGGTACAGTGGATATCTCATGAAACTTATTTTTGCTAGCTTGATGTTCATGTGAAGACAATTTTTGTTTTTATAATTTTTCTTTGTTCTTCTCCCTTCGATAGACGTTTACTGAAAACTAAGATATCTAGAAACTCATCATGAAAGTGATGCATAATGATTGAAATATAACAATCTAGACTTTGCTAAAGGGAAAAATGTGTTTTGATTATCGAAAATGTGACTTCTGATCACCAAATTTATTAGCAGGGGAATGATCACCAAAAAATAAGACTTTTGATCACCAAATCAATTAAAGAAAATTTAAATTAAAGAGAACGTACAAGAAGAATATATAGCAATTTAATTAGTTTAGTTTCAACGTTATTGCAGATTCATTAGTGGACGGACAGACAAGAAAAAGAATATACAGAAAATACATACAAGAGTTATGAATAGAAATATAAAAGATATATGAAATATGTCAGCAGCTGACGGTTTTTGAAATTCTGTTGCCAGCGGTTAAGTTTTTGGAGATTTATTGGTTTTTTGAAATCTGATCGACGATACTGGCAAACTTTAACCTGTAATTTTGCGTATTCCTTCGCTTCATCGGATGGTGTAGCTGTGTGTAATGCTTTTCATTCTTGCTTCAATATTTTTTTGATGGTATCGTTTGTAGTTTAGGGCAGTTATTTATAGATGTTGACAAAATCAATAACATTTCAAAAAACTTAACCACTGGTAATAGAATTTCAAAAAGCGTCAGCTGCTGTCAAATGTCATATATCTTTTATATTTCTGTTCATACTTCTTCTTGTATATATTTTCTTTATATTCTTTTTCTTGTCTGTCCGTCCACTAATGAATCTGCAATAACGCTGACACTAAACTAATTAATTTGCTATTAAATTGCTATATATTCTTTTTGCATATGTTTTCTTTAATTTAAATTTTCTTTAATTGATTTGGTAATCTAGAGTCTTATTTTTTGGTGATCATTTCACTGCTAATAAATTTGGTGATTAAAAGTCACTTGATCAAAAAAATTGATACCCTTGCTAAAACTATAATGTTATTAGTTTTAATCATTTGTGAACGTACATAACTTGATCTGATCTACAAATCAGAAATTATTACTTTGAAAATTTATATTGAGTTTCTAGAGCTAAATAATGAAGCTAAATAGTGAATAAATTCATAATGCAGAGCTGGTCAAGTCATAACTTTTCAAGTCTCAAGTCAAGCTAGAAGACCCAAAACATTTTGCCAAGTCAAGTCTGACTTGACTTGGACTTGAGGTATTTTTGACTTGAATTGCAAACCTCTGTCATAATGAGTTTCTAGAGAATTATTCTGTAAATGTTTGTAAGTTGGAGCTGATGTTAGATTCGTAAAAACTTGTATTTTAATGAAACATTGAGTGGACATCTGAAAACATTGCCTCGTTAAAATCAATATCATTCTATAGAAAAAACTACATGACATTTTTGTTTAAAAATTAAGAAGAAAGATAAACAAATGAAAATATCTAAATCAAAACATGCATTCTCAGACAAATACTTATGGAAGGAACATATAAAATTTAGTCTATAAAGTAGACTGAATGTTTTTCTGAAAAAAATTTGTTCACATTATTTCTCTTTAACGAAAAACATGATAAAAAAATATTTAGGAATGATAAGCATCAGCAATTCGTTTCAGTTCTTGTAATTGTTGTTCTAACAGTAGAATATCTTTTTCAATTCCTTTGATTGTTGCATTTTTTTGTATCCACGTTTGAATGATATCGGCTGCAGATATAATTAGACTAATTCCAAGAATTGCTCCTGAAACTGTACCAGCTGTCTTTGCACCAACTTGAATTGCATTTGCCAACGATGGTAGTTGACTAACAAGTTCTGCCCATGTTTTCATTGTCGTTGCGGCTTGAATAGCATCAGCCACTCTAAGAAAATTGATACCGGCTCTCGACACAGTGTAACCGAGTTGATAGACGGTGATGAGCCATGATGTGATATCTTTTAAATTTGATTCACACAGTTTCATAGCTAGAGAATCTTCTTTTAACATTTCACCATATTGTGTACGCAATTTACGTTCAATAACATTCTCTGTGATGGATGTGCCCAGTGACGTAGCTGTGCCAGCTAAAAGAGAAATGAGAAATGATTTTAGCTACGTTATTCATTGTAAAAACTATATTTCTTCTAATATTTTTCGAAAGATAATGTATAAAATTTCGTTTTAGAAATAATCATAACTATACCTAGAAGAACAGGAACTCCGACAGGTGGAAATACAAAACATAGTATTCCTCCGATAATTGATGCTGAATTTCCCACTGTATTCGATATTTTACAATTTAATACATGTTTGGCCATTTTTTCTTTTAACACTACTAGACCTTCGATAGTTTTTCCTCGTTTTTCGATAAAATTTTCCAATGGTTCAATCGATGGTGGCGAGATGATAGGACATTCTTCAAGTGATAAATGTTTCTGTTCTTCGACTAATTCTTGAAGTTGAACGAGTGATGGATAACCAGTTGGTGAGATAGGTTGAGGATCTTCTTCTTTTTCTTTTTGTGCAATAGTATTGATAGTATCACTATTTTCCAATGTTGGATAAACTGATTTTGAGTGCATCTGTAACTGATCAATCATTAGACGCTGCTGTGATGGTGGCGATAGTAGACCGGCTGAAGCTAATGCCTCCATATCTAATAATTAAAAATAAAAGTCATTATTTAGATAAATATTTTAATAATAATAATAAAAAAAGAAATGTATCACCTAGGACACTACGATTGATTACTCTCACACATTTAGCGTACTCACATGAGTCTTTCATCCAAGAATTTACAGTGAATTTATTTCACTACTGATCTAATAAATATCTGACTAAGTTCTAATCAGGGTTGTCAAATCTCCTAATTTGACCAGGAGTCTCCTGATTTTCAACTGCTTTCCTGCATCGATTTTAGCGCTTCGATATTCGCTTTGTTTTATTTTTGTTCTTGTCGGTTTACTTAAAAAATATATGTCTGTTTGTTTATACTGTTAAATGAACAGCTGGGAAAATACCCGTAGTACATGTGATTATCTTTCTCTCGCTTTCTTTGTTTCGCTTGTAACATAGATCTACTCATTACTTGCTTGGTAGAGAAAAGTCACAAGCGTTTGTGGGAATGAAAATTTTGTTTGTCCAAGGAAAAACTGCGTGATACTTTCCTGTTTTCGAAAAAAATCTCCTTATTTCGAAATATTGCATTTGGGCACTTTATTTCTAATACTACTCCACCATAAGAATATGCTACCCATGTGAAATTCTACTACGTTTTATCAATGTTTTGTACATTGTCTGAAAAAAAAAGACGTCTGAAATTCTTCGAAGCGCCAAAAATACGTTGTATAGACAACGTCTGGATAATTGAATATTTCCACTATTTGAACGAAAGACTCTGAATAGAGCCCTGCAGGTTACAAATTTTTCACAACTTATAACCTGTCCTGTGAAAATTTTCGTAACCTATAACCTATCCTGAACTGCGAACTCGTAACCTAAACCTGTCCTAACAGGTTATGGATGATCTACAGGGCTCTAACTCTGAAGCGTGTAAAAATTATGTTATGTCGAATATAAATGTATATTTGCTTGAAAATTATTATAAATTTAAGACTTCTCAAAAAATCGGCATACATATCTGAAAAACGGTAGGTCAGGATCTTCTAAAGCCTGAATCTCAAGCATATATTGAATATCTGTATTTTGTACCACCCCCACTCTTATTCTCACCATACTCATCCTGATCCAACGAGAAAAATGATAAACTTATCGCTAGGACAGTCAAAAATGATTTAACGTTGAGGTACACTATTGTGACTTAAATGTATTCATACAAAGTCTTTACTATCACTACGATTACACTATGCAGATAATGACGATTATCTTTAATCGATCTTAAATCGTGATTAAACTAGTAGTGTAACCACTACTTTAATCACGATTATTTGGAAAATCATGGGTAAAAAAGATAATCATGTTCGAAAGATGATTATCTTTAATCGTGATTAACTTTAACCGCCTCTATCAAAAAAAAAGGATCATGATAACGGCGCTTGCATATGACTGCTCAACTGCAATAACTAATCAGCCTGAACTCTGTTTTGCCTACTAAAGAATTTTTCTGGCATTACTATACTCTGTTACAGATCGATAAATAATTAATTAATAATAATTTTATAATAATAACTTTTTTTTGTTAAAAATGACTACGCAGAGTTACACGAATAAAACGAAGGCAAAAAGATCTTGGTGGTCTGAGGACGAAACAAACTTGCTGCTAAATTTGTTAAAAGATGAAATGAAATAGCAAATCTTCGGAATTGTGGCACTCGAAAAAAAGTACAAGAGGATTTATTAGTAGCCGGTGTCAACAGATCTATTGATCAGATTAAAGAGTGTTACTGTATTCATGTTAACTTTGCTACACAAAAATGAGTTTTCTCCTCCGCACTGAGTATTTATAGTTATGGCTATCACGAGTTAAATCTTTTTAATTGTGATTAGTGCGGTTACACACAATTCTGTTCATCGTGATTAAATATCGTTAATCATGCTCCAAAGAAATTGCGGTTACACTAGAAAATGTTTAATCGCGATTAAAGATAATCATAATTATTTGCGTAGTGTAACCGTAGTGTATGTCGACATATCATCATCGATTGACTAAAAACGATTGTACATAGAAATATCGTATCGATCCTTGTTCTTGACTGTTGTTATACAAATATATCAGCTTACATAAAAAGCGAGCTTTCGATACTTCACAGTATCATCATCAGGCTAATATGACTGTGAATCTGAAAGAGAAATGATTATATATACTAGTTGAAACAGGAGATTACGACAAAAAATGCGACAAGGGAGATCTCCTCTGTTTCAACTAGTATATATAACCATTTCTCTTCTAAATTCACAGTCATATTAGCCTGATGATGATACTGTGAAGTATCGAAAGCTCGCTTTTTATGTAAAATGATTTTACAAAAATGTTTTTCAATTATATTAAATATACTTAGTTTTATAAGAAACGTAAAACCGTCAAAGAATGTCAATATAAATGTATCAGCATATCGATGTATTAATATAAATATATTATAATGTTTCAAAACTCAAGCAAATATTATCATATATTCCACAACCTATGACAGAAAAATAGCCTCCTTTTTCTACAAATCAAGACAACGAAGAGTTCCTCACTGCTTTTTTCTGAAAAAAATGTAAAACATTGAAAAATCGTGGGAGAGTTGAGCACTTAAGGTGGCAGAAAGATATTCCAAATTCTGTTCCGGCGTACACTTCTGACAATTAGATTTAATAAACTACTAAAATCACTCATTTTTTGTTTACATACAAACTTGACTCTTACCTATATGTGAGATATAGTTGGGTGTTAAAATTTCACCTTTGCAAAGCTTTTTTTACGATTTAAAATTTTACTTTTTATCGACACTTGTTTTATTTATTTACAACATCATCTACACTGCGATGTGTATAGCTTTTCTTTTCTTTTGCAGACTAGTCGTTAATCACGTATGTTTGATTCGTATATATGGAATAACAGTGCGTTTCTCAGTCATTCTCCTCCTTTATTTTCTTTCTTTCGTTCTACAATAAAAACTGCACAGAATTGAAAACTACACAATTTTTCTTTTTCGAATGCCATACGTTTTTGTATGAGTCAGTTATGACGCTAAAATACAAAATGGCTTATACAACCTCGTCTACATGAATAATTGTATGATTTTGCTTAATGAATGTGGGTTGAAAGAAAGTCTTGTGGTTTAATAACAAAATATTTTGACTAGACTCATACACTTATTTTTTGATATTTCGTCGTTACATCTTTATACTGGAATTTGAAATAAATAATGTTGATTGCAACTATAAGTAGAAACAAAAACTGGTCCTATTGCCACCTAACTATCGTTAGTCTTCAAGATAAAAAATCGACTATGTATAATAGAATTCTACAAGCTGAGAAACAAGAAATATTACTTAATACTTCTCTTTGGATCTCTTGATGAATAATAGTTTTATGTAGATATTTTGCTTTATTCTTCCAGAAGGAAAACTTTTTTCTAGTTTATGCCTTTATTTCATTCATCACTCACATAAAACATCCTACAAAAAAATATTGTATCGGCACTGGTTGTGCACGGATGCGCACCGGTGCTCAATAATTTTTTTCTGAGCACTATGCGCACCAGTAACAGAAAGAATTTAAAAATCTCGCACTAGTGCCGTAGTCTTGTTTTCAATCACCATTTTGTCAATTTCTGTGTATATTAACACCATAGTATGCTTTTAATATTTCGAATGTCTTTCTGACTTCATCTTTTCCTTCTCATAAGAGAAGTGCTGAGGCAATACCGCATGGTTTTGGCATGTCAATGTGGTACTGATCAGTGCCGCATTTTAATATAAAATTCAGCATAAACAACTATAATAAAAAACTAATTAAATTGATTAAATAAATTTCAATGTGGCACTGACCGGCTCGGTCCGATCAGAAATTTTTGACCGGTTGATCAGCCGGCCGGCCGAAAGAAAATTAATTTGGCCGGCCAGCCGAGAAAAAAAACGTTGTTTCGTCTGAAAAATCAGTACTTTTTCGAAAACCAATTTGCTGAGCTAAGTAAAACAAAGGTTTTCATATTTCGGATTAAGAAAGTTAGTTTGGGTTTCTCTTTTTTGTCAACAGTCTTTGAGGACAGGATTGGTAATCTCTACTATGTGAATATTCCGTTCGTTTTTCTTTCTTTTTTAATGTTTGTTGCACTATTATGGGCGCTAAAATACAAGGCCGGTGATTATTTTTTGAATAACTCAAGAGGAATAAAAGATAGAGGCGTGCTATTTTCATCATTCGCTAGCCAAGATCTGAGGATATATTTTGATAAGCAAAAATGGGTTTGAAAAATTTCAGAGATCTATGGATTTGTTTCCATAGATATATAGTCCGAAGTATCCTCTACAAAACTAAATCTCAGGGATATCTTGAAAATCTATGATTCGGGAGCTATGGACGTTTTACCTGAAGTCTTAGCACTCTTCTGCCGTTAGGTTTTTTACACTTACACACTCGCGCCAACTTACTATCTCACACACAGACAAACACAGAAAGAAAATTCAAAGCAACACGGTACAAACAAAAGGAACTAAAGAACTTAAATCTAATTCTGAAAAAAAGTTGTTAAATCATAATAGTGTACAAACTGAAATGAATCGATATACGACGGCGAAACGGCGTCGGTCCCACAAGCCGAAGGTTTCGACGGTGGGTCAGAGAGTAGGTATCCGTGCGCCCCAGATTTTTTCTGCAATTCTAATGATACAGACTTCGGGGTGGTGTCAACAACTGTTTCGACTGTCCAAATGGGAATATATGACTGGCCAAGCGGCCGGTCCGATCCGGTCGAGAAAATCTTGACCGCTTACATCTATGACCCATGTGGCACTGATTTTTACCAGTGCGTCACTTTTTGGACAGTAGAGTGCTAAATCCGATTTTTATTCCTGGTTTCCACAAAATCGAACAATATATTACCAGAATATAAGAACTTTTTCGTTTCACTACGACTCAAGTTGTATCTAGACTGAACTATCTCTTGCGAGTGAAAAAGATTTCTGATGAACGAAACTCAACTACGATTCCAATTCATATTTTTTCTTCCAATCGATACAGCTGGCTGCCTCAATAATATATGTAAACGTTCGTGTTTACCACTGCCCCGGGGCAGCTAATAGCAAAACTGAGGATAATATCGAAGTTCATCGATCATTATCGGATGATACTCATGATGAAGTTTCACATTTTTAGCAGACACATATACATATTTTTTAATATTAGAGTCTGCGTTCAGTATAGTGGCTAAAGCTTAAAGCTATATATTCATTCCTACATACTCTAATAAATATTCTTATCTAATAGGTAACGCGTAACATTTTTAAATTTGAAAGTTAGGCCGAAGTCGCAACAATCATTGTGAGTTTACGTTGGTTGTGGTAGCTCAGGCCTAACTTTCAGTCCTAATGTAGCTTGACTATTCGAACCTAAACCGATCCTAGGATCGAGTCAGCCTGACCTCCAATCTCCATACAGTGTAAAGCCTTTATAATATACTTGTAGCTGCACTTTTTAATAAGAAAGCAGAAAAGTCTTATGGGACCGATAAGTTGCCTCATCCCATTAACGCCCCTGGAATCTCTTGTTATACATATTAGTGCCTTGTAGTAATAAGGCATTATCCTAATCTTTTATCAATGAGTGTTCCCTAATCGTACTGTTTTAAGTACACATGTTCTATGTGTAGAAAACAATACGATATTGTCATTTAAACACAAATGAATGTAAGTTTCATTGAGACGAGCTAAGCTAGAAGAGCACTAACATAATCAGCTGATACTCAAATAGACAGCTCAACTTTTCAAGTTATCCAAAACATGATGTGATTATTGTGTATCACTGCTAACTATCAAAAGTATTTAATTTGTTCTCAAATTTTAACTCGTAATATCAATATTCAAACATCTAGTGCTATAACATTACTGAAAGCTGATATTTTAGAAATGTAGTATGTTTATTTTGGTAGCTTTATACTGTTGTCTACAGGCATCAGACTTAGAAACTCTCTTTCTCTCTCTCTCTCTCTCTCTCCCTCTTATGAATGACATATTTTCATTAAAATGTAGAACTATCAACAGGGAAAATTCAGATTTGTGTATGAGACTTATAGTATAAGAAACGGGTCGATTATCATAACTCAGAGCCTTTAGCATTAAATGCTAATAACGAACAAAATACGAAAAAACATTAATCCTTATATAAAGGAAAATAATACAATAAACAAATAGCTAAAATCTACTAAAAAATGTGTTTAAAAAAACAGAAAATCAACTGTAACTAGAATGTACATTTCTAAATGAAAGTATCTGACTAAAAAAACACGAATGTTTCTCATTGAACAAATCTTAGTCATCAAGACTATCTTGAATTTCCTGTGAATAATAATTTGACCAATTTTCATCATCAGGGTCTTCAACTTCTTCGTCATCGCTTTCGTTTTTCACAATTTCCATCTAAAATATTAATAAAGAAAAAAAACATAGATAATTTTTGCTTAAATTGATTGAAAAGATATACCGTTGTTGAACTTTTGACATCTGCGACTTCCACTTTTAATCGTTTTCTCTTAGGCAGTAATTCATCAAAAGACGATGAACGTTTAAAATCTGTATCATCATTTTCTTGTTCAAAAATATCGTCACTTTCGTCTGGTTGTAAACTCTACACAATTAGAGAAATATATATATTAACAACTGAAACCATGTAGCAAATAAAATATCTTTTTTTGCTCAAGATATCTCTGCAGATATTTGATCACTGTTGTGTTAGATGTACTCTTTGACATAAAGGACATGACACATTATAAGACCCCTCTCGACCTCCTCATATAAAAGTTGAAATAGGAGACCCCCTTTTCTTAAGATTCTTTTTGTTGAAGAAAGATCAGTTATGTCGGTGACAACATAATATTTAGTTTTGTGATTTACTACAAAGCTAAGTTCACATGTTCGAATCTCTATTCATACAAAAATTGATTTTGTGTTTTTCGATAGTTTTAGTTTAGAATACTATAATGGAATATTCTTCCGCTTGTATTCTGACAGAATAAAGCTTATATCAACATAATATTTCAGTTAAAACGGTGATATACATAGGGCGTTCAAAAAGTTCCCAGGCTGAATTTCTTTTAAAAAAATAAAAGGCGTTATGATGCCAAGAATCAATCTGTTTTGCAAAAGATGCGTCTTGAAAATTTCCTAGAAAAACATATTGAGTATTTTGCTACCAAATGTATCTTGATCTCAAGTGCTTTAAAAAAAAATTTGAATTCGCTAAAAAAGTCCATTATAATTTTTTCCATTTTAGAACTTTTCACTATTATAACGCTCCACTTTTGTATTTTGTAGCAAAACACTCAATATGATTTTATAGAGAATTTCAATGCGCATCTATTGCAAAACAAATTGATTCTTGGGAATGACAGCAAAAAAAGTTATGAACATAATACTGGGTGCTATTTAATTTACACCAAAGAGCCATATTCACATCCTGGTGAGGATGCTATGTGTCGGCAGTCAAACTGCTTGAAACCTGGCCGTATAAAAGATATAAATATATGCGGCGTATGCGTATGCTTTTCTCTCGTTCTCTCTCTATCGTAGGAAAAAAGATTGTTTTCTATCGTCATTGGTAGAGCGCAAGATATATATACGCATATCGCATGCAATTATTGATGCACTGATTACGGTTATAACTGAACAACCGATGCCTGTTGTAATCAAAATGTCTGTTACGTTTTCCTATGGTCACGATTCTATGGTAAGAAAGGAATTCGACATTTTGAATGTGCTTGTAGCCCGTGTTTCAGAGCTTTTCATAAGATATGAAATGCAGTATTGGAAATTTTCAGAAACTGGCTTCGGACTGCACCGTAATGCTTAAATTTTAATCTAAAGAAGAAAACTTTGTCTTCTGCTGATACAAAACGTTGAATAATTTGAAACAGAACTCAGAAATTCGAAGAGAAATGTGAGATATAACAGGTATAAATTAACGACAACTAACAAGCCAAGCACTACAACACTTTTTGTTGTATTAATATAAAATCAGTCTTTTTGAACGCCCTATGTATCTATCTATATATACGTAGCAGAAAAAGGGTCACTATATTGTCAGCTGACGGCAAAATGAGACTTTTATCTCCAATTCAAAAATTGCTGTTAAACAAGAGTTCTTTAGGACACAATACAAGAATCTTATAAAATCTTTAAAACTCAGAACATTTTAGAACTTCCGGGAACAATCCCTTTATCTTCTTTCCATTGTGTCATATATTTTCTTTCATTGGGCTACGATACCTATCTTTCTTTCTATCATAATTTCGGTTTTTACTGCGAAAAACAGAAAAGCATGTGGTACATCTAATAGTTGAAAAACAGAGAGCATGTGCAAGACAGATATTTTTGTTGCTTAGACGTCTAAATATATAGTCTTACCTCTGTGTCAGATAAATCATATTCTTCATCATTCAACTCATAATCTTCTTGATCTTCCAATTCTTGAGTATCTATAAATTGTTTTTCGTAGATATCGTCATTTATTTTTTCCACGTTTGACTGTTTCGATGATGCCTAAAATGATGGGATGAAGTACATTCGGTAAGATTCAAATTCCATGTTAAATTAGCATTCAATAGTTAGCGATGAAAATGCTACGCGTAGCAAAAAAAACATCGTTTTTTCAACGATTAAATCTATCTAAACTGAATAGTTTAAATGATATTGCAATTTTGGAATCAGTTACGACTAAAACTAGCTATAGAGGATTTTTTTATTAATAGATTGATAACTAATGCAATGTTCAACTATATATATATCAAACTATTCCTCTTTACATTTATAGTAATGATTTTCTAGATGAGTACAGTTCACGTTAAGCCTCTCTCCCCCCTCCTCCCCCCGGGTCGGAAATCTAGCTCAGCCCAGGTAGGTCGGAGCTGGACCAAACTTTCAGAGAATGTTGACCACGTCAAAGTGTGATAACGAAATTCGTTTTTGGCGTTACTTGCAACTGTTTGTGAGAGGGTGCCACAACAATGGTCAAAAGTAGGCATCTACCGCGCACAGGAATTTTCATTCCAGGTAAATGACAGAGAGCTCGGGCTAGTTTTGTTTTGCAGTAGGCACCTACGCCTAGGAGTTGACAGAACCCGATTTTTTAATTTCTCATTTACTGATTTCTGGTGCTTAATAGAACTTTAAAGTTCGAAGGTTTCTTAGAAATCCTCATTTATGTAAAGAATAGAAGCGTAATTTAAAAATCAGACTCTGTCACCTCCTACCTATAGGTGTTATCTACAAATAAAAAAAAATTTCTTTCTCCGATGTATCGTTACCGAGACTTCCTGTGCGCGGCGAAAGTCCTAAAGCTAAAAAACAGTCTTAAGCAAAGCGTGAAAAAGAGTAACACCTTGTAAAATAACTCCTTAAACTATGTAATGGCAATTTGCCGCTTTAGTTCGAGGGTTATTAGGATTTATCTTTAAATAAATATAGTAACCAAATTATTGCATAACTAATTGCGCAGTTAGTAAATTATTAAAAAGAACTGTGTAAGGCTTAGTCATAGAGATGAACGAATTAATTGACCAGACTACGAGTCTTATTCTCAGTCGTTTCGAATCATTTTTCAAAAGGTTCCCCAATCCTAGTAATGCATTTTTCTAACAGCGTTCATTTCGCCTCTATTTTTCTAAGCATTTGTTTGCTGAGCACTCAAATGACGTGTAACAAAACATAAGAGAGAAATATTTATAATAATAAAATGTTTCTTTTAAGTAGGGATCCCAGATCGTCTGATTTTAGCGGAAAATTTCTGATTTTGGGAGTTTTTTCTACCTAGTGTCTGATTTTCTGATTTTAGAATCTTTGTTTGATATTGAACGAAAATTTGATTTATAATTTTTTTTTCTAAAAAAAAATGGATATGAGAAGAAACAACGTTCTGACTTTTGTCTGATTTTCAATTTTTCTTTTCTGATTTGCATCTTTTAGATCTGGGATCCCTGCTGTTGAGTGACCCGCGGCAGTTGATTACGATTCTTTTGTTTTTAACCTTAAATTCGAGCTACAACTTGAACTTGTCCATTTCTAGTACATTAGTAATAGTTCTGAAGTAATAGCGTCATTAAAATATGATTAGTAATAAATATACAGAAATGAGCAATCAGATGTGATTTATAGAGTGTTAGTATTGTTCGAAAATTAGTCAGCCAGTTAATCAATTTGTAACTTACTTTTTGCTGTTTTTTAGAAACAGTATTCTTCTTATTTATGGACTAAAAAAAGTAACATTAAAAATCATACAGTTCATTTTGATTGCGATGGTTTTCTCTGTTCATAGTAAACTAATAATAATTATCTTCATTTTAGACAATTTTCAAAATTGAATATTTAAGAAAAATGAGCTAAATTTTATATGTACAATCAGAAATAATGCAGTTTCAGTTCTCATGTAGAAAATGATCTATATTAGGTCATTTTTTCTTTTTAAAAGAGAGAGTAGATTTTTTGAATCAGAGAAACTACTGAAATCGAATTACAACTAACTATTATTTTTAGTTTCGACTATTTCTTAAACATAGCAACTTTCTTGCTAATCGGATAATAGCAAATATTAATTTATTACCGATTCTGAGCTAGATTCATTATCTGTAGCGCTTATTTATATAACCTTATTGATGAATAAAGAAATCAATATTTACCGATGGACATTTCTTGAGGATAGTTTTTGTTGTCATGAGTGGAAACAATTGACTATTAAAACCACTTGTACATTTTTTACATGTTCCATCTTGACAATTTTTTCCTTGACAAGGTATTGGTATTAATTGTGTAACATCTAATTTAGGCATGGTCGATTTTGATTTCCATATAATTTCACCATTTAATTCATAACCATTATTCACATACGGTGGATAGACAATGTTAGATTCTAATGATTGAATCCAAATCATTAGTTGACGTTGAACACGTTTACAATGAAGTTGAAAAGCATCACTTGTAGGTGGTAAACAGAGAGCAATATTTTTACTATTTCGTTTTAATGCTGTCATAGCCATTTGAGAGCGTAATTCATCAAGTGTAATAGGTGTATTTAATGGTCGATAACAGGATAATAATAATTGTTCATAAACAATTTCTCCTTGAGTAAAATCATATTTTGTCGGTTGTTTAAAATATGTATCAAATATTAAATATTTTCGAATATTACGAATTGATGAACATCCAACAGATGTACAACCTGATAATGCATGTAAAAGAAGAAAATTTAATGGATCAATTAAATGTTGTTCTTTTATTAATGTTGATATTTGTGTACAATTAATAATTTTTAATTGATCAACTTGATCTTTTTCACGATCTCGTACACTTGGCTGTTGTTGTACACTATAGTCAAGAAAAAGTTGTGTAGGTAAAAATTGATTTGCATAGGCAATTGATAAAATGAATACATCAGGATCGGTTGATCGAATTAGAATAGTTGACGATTGTTGAATACTTTTAACATGAAATAATATTCGAGTAGATAAATTCAAATGATTACAAGCTAATGAATCAGTAACTGTAATATTATCACAAGTTAATAAATACGTTTTATTACCCGGACCACCTAAGAAAAAGAACAAGAATTAAAAATGAATAATTAAATTAAAAATATATGTGAGTACATACCTAAAATAAGTGTTTTACCCGTTGGTATTTTAGATGTCTGTTCTAACCAACATTTTATTAGACAACTTGTCAAATTTGCTTTATTTATTTCTAATAAATTATCGAATAATTTTCCATTTGGTAGAATATCTATTGGATTAAAATCGTGTATTATATGTCCATCATCCTTATCTAATAATGAATCAAAAATAATATCAATTCTTTCAAATATTTCAAATTGTTTTAATAAAACTTGATCAAATAATTGCTTTGAATAGACTTGTATTGTACCACTTCTTAATAGAGGACGATTTAATGTTAATAATTGTTTTCCATCTATAATTAATATTGTTGCTGTCGAAGATGGTGTAGTTGAAAATGCTTGTAAAAATTTATCTTGAAAAAAGAGATAAATTTGTTGTAATGTTTTAGTTGTATTATTTGATTGTTTTATTCCAAAGAATGTTGATGAATGTTTATCAACTGGTAGCGAAGATGGACATAAGGCAAGTGGTTGATGAGTAAATTCATGAGAAAATAATTGTGATAAATCTAATTGACGATGTTCACCTAATATCAAATAACGTTTTATATCATTATCGACTAATTTCAATGGTTTTTCTTTTACGAGATTAATGCGAGGTTTGCTGATTTTACCGCTTAATGGTTCGTATCTAAACAAATAAATAAATCAATAAAAACTAACGAAAACAAAGGTATATACATCAATCACATAACATTAACCGTTTTATAGCATATAGATTAGAAATAGGGGCTCTATTACAAACCTAAGTTCATGAGTTTGGATGTCTATTCGTAAAAAGTTAAGTTTTAGAATATTCTAGCGATAATAGGTTTAATTTTGTTTATATTCTAGATGAATAAAGCTGAATTATCGCCGAATGAACGAAAAATTCGAACGGCAATTTGACGCTAAATAAAATTTCGAATAGCTAGATCGAATAAGACACTATATGTACAAACTTCTACGGACTCTCTAATTAACCAAAAAAGGCATTTATTTTCAATTCATACTTACTTAAGTTAACATTGGCGAGATAACAAGCAGATACCTGTAACTGTTTGAGAATTGAGAGAAAATGTATCATCAGAATCTGTCACTAGTATTACTTTTGTAGTACATATTTTACAATAGCCGGATGTTGACTTGACATTCACTATCGTACGCCGAAATGTCTCTCTTAACTGTTGTACAATTAACATAAAGTTTGTAAAGGTCAAATATAGAGCTCAATTATTATTTCTGAACTAAAATTTATGTTTTACAAAAGATTCTTAGTCAAGTCTTGGTCAGTTTAACATAGTTGTATGAATAAAAACCAAACACTTTTTCTTGTTAATCATAGAGCCCGTAATAGTTTGTACATATAAAGTCTTGGTCAGTTTACGTATTTAAAACTTTCTTAAGCTTATATGTTATTTTTGCCATGTTAGTTGTTTACCCTTTTCTTTAGACGTATCAATAAAGCTTAAATCAATCAAATATCAACAAAATATAAATATATTTCATTTATGCGGAGTTAAATGAATCACATCATACCTGTCTGAATCCTTCAATCTTAATCTGTGAATCGCTTTTAATCTTTGTTGCATTGGCACTAATTTTCGAATTATTCGTTCGTCAATAAATGTTTCTAATGCTTGTGTACCACGTTCCACTGATGAACATAGATCCTTGACAATATCAGCATGTATTACTTTCGATTGTTTTGTCATTAATTTTGTAACATCAGCATCTGTGGATGTAAACAAGTCTTCATGTTTGAGTTTTTCTAATATCAACTGTAAATCTTTGTCATCTAAATCGTATCGACTTGGTGTACATTCGAGATGGGCATCAACACAATTTAAATTTGTTTCATATTCACATAATGTTTGTGTTACATTGGTCAAGAGAGAACGATAGGCAAATGAACGTGTCCAGGTATCAATTAATTGTGAACTAAATCGGCCACTGATACCACCGTGACCTTTACCTAAAAAGATTGATGAAAAACAAATAAATTTGTTCATTGGTAGAAAACAAGAGATAAATTAAACTTCTTTAACAAAATTGTTTCATCTACGTACGGTAAAAAATGTCTCGTCTATTTACCTAATTTATTAATTGTACACTCAATTGTTTGATCCATGGCTATGGCTGTAAACGGTTTGTTTGTTCGTCTCACTGCAAAACACTTGGATAATTTATCAAACAAATATTTTGAACATGTTTGTAAATCGTATAAATGTTGTCCACATAGACGAGCATAATTACGATGATTTGTAGCAAAGAATAATGAAGCCATTTTTGATAAACTCGCATTTCTAGCATCAAAATTTGATGTACGTAATGCCATATATAAAGAAATTAATGGTGAAATTAAATCATCCAATATAAATGACCATAATTGAAATTTTATATTTTTATTTTTATTTTCAATTTTCCAAGCATCAAATTTTTGTTGAAATTCTAATGATTCTAAACAATTGATTAATGTTTTAAACCACCGTTGTTTAATTTCATCTTTTGCATAATGATGAGGATATCCTGAAATAATCTGTTTAATTTGATCTGTAATATCAGATGTTGATGAAAGAAATGTTTCAAATCTTTGCATTGATAAAGCCGTATAAATAAGTTTACAACATCGAAGTGATTTATTGAAATGATGAACATTAAATATTGATCGTAATGAAGCACCTTTATAAATATATGAAATAATTGTTTCGAGACCACTTCCTTCGAGAACATCCCAAATAACTACCATATAACATTTCATCAAATGAAAATCACCAGCATAAATTGTTAATGCTTGAAATTCATTCAGATTATTATATTTAGACTAGAACAAGAATAAAAAAAGAAACATATGAAATTCAAAAGATGACAAGTCAAATAGCAACAGAATAATTCTGAAAATAAAACTGGATGATGTTCTAATGTTTAAAGATCACTCATGTTGTCGAAACCGGCGGTCAACTACAGTTATTTTAAGAACTGACGGCTAACAGCACAATTAACTGGAAAAACGGGCCGTTTTTCCGGTTAATTGTGAGGTTAACCGGCGGTTCTTAAAATAACCGTAGTTAACCGCCGGTTTTGACAACATGGGATAATATTCAAACAAGAATACATGTCCAGTGACTTAAAATGTTATTTTCTCCTCTTTATATAACTTTACTAAAATCATTCAATTTCAAAACTTATTCATATAGATATCCAGTTTTAATCAGAATAAATTCATTTATTATATACAATTTCGAATTTAAAAAAATTCTACGTTCTATTGTATACACAGATATACATTGTTAGATTTTTATTTAAGAGCAGTGGTTCTGTAGTGTAACGGTCATCACTCTGGACTCTGAATCCAGCGATCCGAGTTCAAATCTCGGCAGAACCTTATGTTTTTTATTTATTTCTATGTTAATAATATGTGCACACGCAGGAAACAGAACAATTGAATGTTCATTTTTATATGAAGAGGACCGATTAAAAACTTCTTTTTTTTTTCGCTTACAACTTTTGTAACGATACAGTCGAACGGATCAGCAACAGAAAGTATATATAATGGGTGACTTTCATCCAAAAATGCCACATTAGAGTTTTTTTCACCAGTAAAATCTGTTAAAAACACAACTTTATCCCCAGAAAACAGTGTAGTAACTTGAAGAAATTTTGAAAAAAAACGAGACAATTCTTAGTCCTGCTTTCATCACTAAAACTTTCTTTATGCCTACTATAACAAAATCAACATTTCAGGAAAAAAAAGGATTATAACATTACAATGTTCACCAAATATAGACGTTCTAAGATAAATTCTTTCTCCGTTTTCTCATCAGCAAAGAGGTTTATTATAATTTAATTTTATCGCATCTTGACTTTCACTTTATACTCTTTTTGAACATTACTATCATTTGTTTATATAATATATCTTTTGCCATTCGAATTTAGACAGCATTTTGTTTAATTCCACTTCTGGATCACATACCTTTCATCTACTACCCATTATCATATTTTATGATATATCAGTATACCGCTGAAACGTTTCTTTTCTTTGTTTTGTAAAAACTAAGTTGAATGTGTTTTTCTTTAAAAGTTCTTTCTATCATGAATTTTGAAGCAAAGAAATACATTATTGTCCGTTTGTGGCGAATCATGATGCACCGTGCATATAAAGATTACATCGAAATTTTTTTTTAATTTGTTCTAGGGTTGAAGAGAAAAGTTAAAAGAAAGTAGGACGAATAATTTTTCGAGCCACTGTAAACTATTCCCGTTGTTGTGTTAGATTTTGCCCAACTAAACGATGACTTGTTTCAAAAATAACCTAGTACCATCTTCTCTATCTTTGTTCTTGTGATAATATATCACGAAAAATTATAGAACGCTTTTTTTTCTTGAATGTCCGTCCATTTTATTTCTCCCACCAACAAATATATGGACAGGCCGGGAAAAGTTTTTACCGTGGTGCGTACACAAACGTGCTTCTCGTCATAATTTTTGTCCGTGCTAGCACATTTTTTCTTCATTTAAACTATGCATCAAATTTTTCAATCAAGAATGGCTCCTTCTTTACCTTGAACCTCGGACAGATATTCTGCTGCCAAACATAATTCTTCACAGGGCAATAACTGCTTATTGTCCTTGATATTTTTTTCCAGGAGAGGCAATTGGCTCCAATTGTCCTGGTGGCGATCCACCAATGAACAAACATTAAACCGGCTATACTAAATGGAATACAAATTTCAAGAATAGATCTGACAAAAGCCATGCTATGACTGAATATATCTATACATCTATGGCGTATCTCCTTTTATCTTTTGTTCTATACGACTATTAATCTCTTTTTTTTGATTTTTTTATGTTATCTATTTGTTCACTGTGAGAAATCTAAAGTCACGTCTTGGAGAGTATACAATTTACGGATTTAATGGATTCACCACCAAGCTAATTGACATGTGTACTAGTTCATCAATAAAGTGTAAAACAATTCTGTTTTTTACAAAAGAAAATGACTTTTAAACATATTTATTATCTTTTTCGGTAGGTTTATTATAAATAATAAACGGTACAGAAAAAGGCAGATGATAAGTGGTCGTTTGCCGGAAAAAAGAGAGCTTAAAATATTAATTTCTTATTGCACTTAGGTTTTATATTCCCCGTTTTTGTTTTTGTCTTTTTTTAGTTTTTCTTCTTACAGTTTTAAGGACAACAAGATGAGAACGGTGGTTCATAATGATTTTTGAGGAGAAGTGTCTCTGCAAAAAATTTGCATTACTCTTTTGTTTCCTTGTTGAATAGCTCTGTTTAAATAATTTGTTGTTTGTTTCTTATAATATTCTTTAATTAGATCGTGATCGATGTGTTGACGTACATATGATCCAGAAGTGTAAAAGGGCACTTTCGATACATATCTTAAACCTTTGTTCTCAATCACTTGTAAAGAGAAGAGTCACTATGGTAATAAAAAGACTGTACACATGATATTTGACGCATGACATAATATATCTTTTGATTTGTTCAGAGGAACTATTATTGTTTTCAAGATTTTTAAAAATTTAAAGTTTTTTTGTTCAACTCACCTTTATACAATTTCGATAAATTTTTTCATCAACAACAATAACTGCTTCTTTTTGAAAATTTGTATCTAAAAATTGTGTTTTTGTTGATTTTAAACATGTATCCGCTGCTTGTTGAGAAGATGGATCAAGATCAATAGGTGTACAAAACGAAATAATATGTAACGGTTTTGTTGTGTCATGTTCTAAATGAGTGGCAAAATAGCCAGCTAATAACGGCAAACGAGTATTGCTCTTGAGAACATCATTACAGAGATGTTTTGATAAACCATAAGCAAATAATTTTAATGTCAAGGAATTATCAACAAATGCTTTATATTTGTAAGTATTCGATTGATCAAAAGAACGACGATCGATTACAGCTTTTCTTGGAGTTGATGTGCATATTGGACGAAATTGAGGATTTATTTGTGTTACACATGAAAATGATTGAATATCATCAACAAAACCTGAAAAGAAAATAGACAAATTTTTACACAATTATAGTCGAAATAAACACACGTACATCATAGAACTTTGATCCATTACTACAACTTTGACAAAATTATGCGTTCATTTAGTTCTCTTATTTTCCATTATATATGATAATAATTACTTAAACAATGTAACACTGGCGCAATAGAAAAGAAAATACGTAAACTAATGACGAAAAAACCTAACAACAAGGAACGTTAAACCATAAAAACAATGTAGTAGATTTAACCAAATGTATGTTGAATAATCAGTACTTGACCAAAGTGAAATATTATCAATAACAGGAAATTATCTGCAAGTTAATTTTTATTAAATATAGAAATTTGTGGTGTTCTCTCATCCAATTTTTAATGTTTTCTCTTTTTCTTTACCTGAATCGTTCTGATCTTGTTCTTCTTCATCATCCAGTACAATTATTTGTTGATTAGTATCTTCAAGACTAATGTCAATATTTTCAGGATTTTGTATAATTATCTGATTCATAATATGAATACTATTTTCACCATGTACCGTTTCTTTATTCAAATCAAAATTATCAGCTACTTTTACACCAAAACAATTTGGATGCACAGTTTTTGGTAATTGATAAAGAGTTGATTCTTTTCTTGCTTGTTCATCATGTAAACGACATACACCTTCATACGAACATACATGTCCAAATCGATTCATAACTGTTATTAAATCACTTGATCTTGCATGTTTAAGTAATTCATTTCCAAGTAGATAATGTTTTGGACTTAGAAAAGAATCATTTTTACAATTCATTATATCAAATGATATTGATGATATTTTTAACCATTTTTTCGATTTAGAAAACCATGAACCATCGTACATACTATCATAATGAGTATATGAACGTTTTACTTCATTAAAATCACGATCATTCAATGTAATAAGACCAATAAAATTCTTTAGAAAAGTTGGACACGATTTCCAATAAGAATCGGATGTAACATAAGCCAATTGATCACGTGAAGTTTTTAATTTTTTAAAATAATCATAACCTAAAAATAGAAATAAAAATAAAAATTGACAGTAGACATAGAAATATTCAGTTCTGATATAGATCATTCTTCATATTAAGTTATAAAACATAAAAATTGACACTTTTCTTCATACCAGAAACAATACTTTTTCTTAATAATTCCACTGTACGTAATATTAATTCACATTCATCTGTTATCGCTTTGATTCTGGACGTTTCTTCTTGTCTTTGTTTTATAGCCATCACCACACCGTTATCTCTTATATCTTCAACTTGTTTTACTTTAGCTTTGACAAATTGTTCAATATTATTCAGTGCCACGTATGTTCCTTGTTTGGGACAATGTTTATAAAAATAAAATTTTGAAGGTGAAAGATTTTCTAAACGTCGACGAATAGATGCCGTACGTAGTATTGCTTCCGTAGCTGATTTTCCTTTTGCCACTAATAATTTACGATATTTGGTTTGAACATCGATCATTCGTAAAACTAATTGGGTTTTTAATGTTACACTGAGCCATCGATGTAATTCATCAAATGCACTTTTCTCAGCTACGAAAGATGTTGTTGTGTCGTCAACTTCAACAGCTAATGTTTTTCGTCCTGATGAGCTCCAGGGCTATAGAGAAAAATAAAACAAATACAAGTTCTATTCTTCGAACAAAAATCTAAATTTTCTGTTATACCTGAACATCGATATTTGTTTTTGGTAACGTTTCATGTTGTTGTTGTTGTTGTTGTTGATATGAGATGGAGAATTCTTGTAAATGTTTGATATCGTTTTCTGTTAGTTGAATTTTATTAAGAACGACAGTAGAAGTAGGTATCTTAAGAGGACGAGAAATAACTGCCATTAATGGTGGTTTACAATAATCATGATCGAGTGTAACTAATCTGGACAACGTTGATGTTGGTAGTGAATGAGTTTCAGATGGATCATGGCGAATGACAGATGAATGTAAAAATTTTGCTTGTGATACACAGAAATCATTGTCATGAACATCTAAAAAGAGAACAACAGCTGAGGAACATGATATTTTATGCTAGATACTTGAAGTTTTCTCAAGAACTGTAATCACCAGTTTGATTCAACTATTTTTAATCAGTCTGTATGCCCACATACGTTCAAAAGAAAGAAGAGAAAATTCTGTATGTTTCATATAAGAGGTATAACACTTGAGTACATGACCATTTTCTTCATTGTGTCTCAAAACAACATCATATTGCAAAATGGATCGTGTTAGTCAATCGACTGTATCGAGAACCATCAAAAATCTCCAATTTATCGTTCAAAATAAAGTGAGAAGTGCATTAACTGACAGAAAAACATTGTCAGTTCGCAGTTGGTCGTTTTAAAAATTTCGTCACAACTGATGACTCTTGATTCTATTTTAATGGGATAAGAAAAGTGTGTTATATATATACAGATCAAATTCTGACTACGAACGAATGACGATTCAGCAGAATTCATGGTATGGAGTAGAATATCCTTTAAAAGCAAGACTTGTAGAACTCGAGTCCAAAAGCAATGCTGACAGTTACATAAACAAAATTCTTCGTCCATTTATCTCAGAAGATGTCTGTCATTTGTTTCTCGAAGATAGAGAAACAAAGAATGGTGTTTTATGAGAATCACACAGCAAAAATAATGATTTCATACAAAATCTATAAAAAGCGAAAATTTGATACGTATCTTCAGACGAATGGGTATAGCTATAATGGATTACTCGATATGGAAATATTTGAAATAAGGATTAAATGGTCAAAAAAAATGACGCACTAGAACAGCTGAAAAGAAAACTTTTATGTGAAAATGGCAAAAAATCCTTGAATTTTTTCTTCATAAAATTTTAGTCTATTTTGACCAAAACATGTTTTTCTGTACAGTTAAGGTTCGACAATGGCATATCGAATACAAACTAAAATTGTAAATATATTTTTCTTCATAAAGAAATAAAATCAAAATGATTGAAAATATTATTCCAATTAATGGACAATAATTTCAAAATAAAAGACACGAATAACAGCAGCGTTTTTTAACTTCATTTAAGTATTTTATTTAGTTTAAATAAAGTATTAGTAAACTAAATAAAATACTTTAATGAAGTTAAAAGACGCTGCTGTTATTATATCTTTTATTTTGATTAAAAATAGCTGAATCAAACTGTACAGTATCTTAGTTATTGAAAATCAATCTATCTTTACCTTTTGTTTTACAGTTGAGTGTTGTTGTTGTCGTTGTTAATATTTTTCGAGGTTGATAATTTGCAAGCTTTAACAATTTACTATAACATGAACGATGCATTCGTTTATGAAAAAATGATATTTGCTCTCCATTTGAATCCTTCGTTGAATATCTGCGAGAGTAACCATATTGAAGTTTTGTTATAGTATTTTGATTTACACATAAAATAGAATTTCTTTTTATTTGACGTTTTTTACAGACAAAACAAAAATTACTATCACGATATTTTCGTTTTATTTGATTACAAAATATAGGCGATTTTGATGGTTGATAATTATTTGAAATCTAAACATAAAAAGAAAGAACAATGTTATGTAATAGAAATATTTTTTAATAAGATTGAGAAGATGCTAAATTCAAGTTTGTTCAAATAAAACTAACTTTTTCAGTGATATCGTGACGAATTGGTTTACATAATTTTTCTTGTTGATGATCAGCAACAAATGGTTGGTATTCCTAAATACAAAACATAAACACAAATAGACATTGATAAAATTTATAATTATGCCAAGAAAAAGTTATTTATTGACATAACCCTTTCGGGACGGGTGACTTTTTAAAACGTCATTAAAACCTCAAAAATCGGAATAAGCCGTGTTTTCCAAAACTTTCTTTTGAAGAAACGTCCTTCAAAATTCGATCATAATCAAATTTCAAA